GAATGATCACGGTTGCTGCAAAGTAACCGAAACGTTGGGAGTATGTAATCAGAAATATTAGTTTAATTTACTATTTGTTAGTATGAATTTAAAAAATTAAATAACGTATCAATTACATTTGGATTTAACACCTCTTTACTTTTGCATCAATAGACAATATTGTTATTTTTTAATATTTTTCTTAGGTGTGTCTCCACCAGCAAGAGATATTGTCCTGGAACCCTTTGTTGCGGTTCATCGGTAAGTTTTATTTATTGCAGTCTAAACCTAAAGTACTCACATCACTATATTAGTTTTTTATGACATTAATATATAAATAGTGCATTAGAATATTTTGAATAATTAATTTAATAACCAGTTAAGAAACCAAATTCGTAAGATTCCGTATAACAGGCGAAGGAAAGATGAATATCATTTTACACATGGGTAATTTAGATTATTTTACTTAAAAAATGAAAATTATAAGAACTATAGAAAAATAATAATCCTATAGTCCTTATAATATTAACTTTGATTAAAAATAATTTATATATACATGTATGATGGTACTGAATTATAGACTTTTAAAGTCTCATAGTGCAAAATGACCTAAATGTAATGGCGTTTTTATTCTTATGTTCATATATATAATAAATATATCTTGGGAATATTCCCATTGTTAACATTGCTATTAGTTGTACAAATTGTATTAAATCTTTATACATATAAATGTTAATAAATTTCCTAGTATTTCATAAGTATTTCGCAATTTAAAAAAAGTGATGAAATATCTTAAATCCATGACACAGTAATCAAATATAAGTAAAGAAACGTCTAGATAAATATACTCAAGGATATAAATTAAACATCATTTTATAACCACTGTGTAGAATAAAACAGAGACAACGACGAAGAACACATTATTAGCATTGACAATTATTTGCATATTTAATCGTTTGGGATCTTAGACAATTAATTACTAGGCTCTTTATTATATTATTTTTATAACACATAATATGTAAGATTAAGGTATTAGTCTTTAAATAGGAAGCGGATTGAAATAAATTGTAATTAGTAATACTATTTAAACTGTTACTTTTAACGTAGATGCGTATCTCAGTAGATGTTCTAATTAAATTTGGATGGAAATACTCTTTACTCCTCGTTTGTAGTGAGATAATGAAAACTAAGGGTAAGCTTGTTTAGTAGACATCACGCAGGGCTTGAAATCATGTTATACTTTGTACCATCCTCGTAAGCAAACAAAGGAAATAACAAATTGCTACAAATTATTCAGCAAACAAGTTTATAATTATGAATTAAAGCGTCAGTACATTTAATTAAGTGTACTTTTAATTATACAAATAAGGGATAATTTACAATTCGCACAAAGATTTTCCGTTGATTATCACACCAGCAATGAATAAAACAAAAGTAAGTCCAAAATAAGAGTCTCGTACATGACATGTTTTAGAAAAATATGCATTTAATTAGATAAAGTGCACATTATTTCGTTTATAGAATAATTATTGTTATTCCATTGAAAACAATATAAAAAGTAGATTATATCCTGTTTCTGCTTGTTTATTATAATAATTGCAGGTTGAATACATATATTTAGTTTTAATTCCATTACTAATCACACGAAAGTGACTGATTTATATGAATAAAGATATTATAAAGCTTTTTATTTCATTGTCAAAAAATCGTCGTCGATAAACGAAAATATTACTAGAAAATTGATTGAAAGTTTAAAGTTAATATGCCACTATAAGAATATTGTCGGTCGGAGTTTAAAATATAGATATATGAATACGAAAATATCTATAGTTTTTCTTGTATTAACTATAAAAAACTGTATGTATGTTGCCTTTTAGGTTGTTTTTATATATTATTAATATTAAACAGAGTATGACACATATCATACTGTATTTGAGAAAAGTTTTTAAACGTAGTCCAAATTAATCTGCGATTACTCCAAATGAGATATTGATTTTAACTTCTAAACGTGAATCATTATTTTCGTCGAACGACCTCGCTAACCAAGTTCCGGGATTTCGTCACCCTTTTCCATTTCACAAACAACTAATTTCTTTGAATCATTTCATACATTAGCCATATTAATCAGAACGCCAAATTATAATAAGTTGTTTTAAACCGGCGTATCATAGCAACGTGAATAGCTCTTGTACACAATACATCACAGGATCTGACGCCATTTGTGTTTATATTTTAGGTCAATGGGTCGATAACTAGTTGTTATTTCTATGAAACAAACTGCCCCGATATATGGACGTGTTTCAATTACACATTTAAGGGACTAAAGTTCGATGGCACCAACTAAAGCGGGGTTAAGTGACTATTACCGATACATATGTATATAGCGTGTACGCTGTAACCCACATTCAAACGAAATTACATACTTCAGACGAATCACAGCCTTTACAGCCGATACATTTTTTGATTAAATGCATAGCTTTTAAAATACCATATATCATACAGTGAAATGAAATCGCGATAATAAAATGAAAATTATTTTTTTGTACTTTCACTACTTACTTATTCAGTCGGTGTATAAGTAAGGTGGTATTTACATAATATAGGGGGTTGGGTTCATCAACACAAGTAGTTGATTGCGTTAGATACAAAGGTCGTTTAGTGTTAGGCGTCGGGTCGGCAGTTAGACGTCCGCCTCGGTGGCATGCAGTGGCTATGGTGTTGCGATCGCGCCGGCGCTGTTCAACCCGCGCCAATAAAAACACCAGATCTCGTTGCAGATCTCCCTTCCCACACTAGGTACTTAAGCCCAAACTTTTAACATTAACATACGATAATCTATTAAACGTTACCTCCATTTACAGAAATTCGGGGAATAACGAAGAGAAACAAGAAAAAGAAAAGACAGAAGACACTGAAAATTCCACCGAAAAACTGTTAATAACTGACGATCCTATTGAAAATATAAATGATCAAAATGAAGAAGAGAATGTACAGCGATCTCGGACACCCTCAATACAGATTGAAGATATTTCTGAAAAATCTATTGCATCTTCAGAGACAGCTGAGGAAACAGCGTCAGTTAAATCCATAGTAAAAGAAACTCAAGAACATTCTCATCATGATACTGATAGGTGTTCAGAAACTAAATCAGCGAGTACAAAATCATCACCAGGAGCAACAACTCCATCCAAGAGCAGCATTACATCAAATATTTCCTCAAGTTCGTTGAGATCTCACAATGCCACACCGGAACCACCAAGTCTAGTAATAGAAAAGCCACCCGAGCGTGATGTTCGCAGCTCCCTAGCTGAATGCATAATACCAGCACGACATGAAGACTGGGAAACGATAGTGTCAAGTCTTATTGAAACTGAAAGACTGGCAAAAGACGAAATCGCCAGAGCTCCAGCCGCTAGCTGGAGGGCAGCGACTCGAAGTGTTGCTTCCCACGTTCGGTCATTAAGATCCAGAGTAGCTAGAGCCGCTTGTTCAACAATGGGTGCTCTATTTGAGAATCGAGGAAGATGTCTTGATCCAGAGTTGGAAGAAGCTACAACTGCTTTATTGGAAAGGTGTGCTGATGTTAATCGGTTTCTGAGGGCCGACGCAACCACGGCGCTTGGACGGGTTGCTTGTGGTGGAAACTGTGCTCGTGCTGGCGTCGCGCTCGTTAGAAGAGGAGCTTCTCACAGAGCGGGTCCAGTACGTGCAGCAGCTGCACAAGCACTAACAAAACTAGTTAGACAACAAGGCGCCTCTCGTATACTAGATCTACCCATAGAACCTCGTGTTGTAATATTACGTGCTGCAGGGGAACTGCTAGGAGATGCAAGTCCTGAGGCCCGGTTACATGCAAGGCATCTCTGTCTCGCTCTTGCAGAAGATGCGCGTTTCAGGCAACTGCTAAAGGACGCTATGCCACTCAGCCGATATCGAGCGATAGAAAAATATGTAGATAAATTGCGTTGCCGGTAAATGCAGTATCTAAATATATTTTACTTTTTTTTTGTTATATATTGTAAGTTTAAGCTTGTGGATGTAAAATTTATCTCGAACGCGAATGCCCTAAGTAATATTTCCATGAAAAAATTTTAAGGAGATCTTCTCGTCTAAAAGTAATATGTATACAATGTAGCTTTTATATACAGATTACATAAATTGAATAGGCAATAATTTTTATTAAAAACAATGACTGAACTGAATGAAAATATTATTAATTAAAATATATTTGTATGTGACGTATAATAAGTTCTTTTTTTTACATTTTTTATATGTGAATAAGACTTTAAAGTTTTTCATAAAAACTAACCATTTATTTTCTATTAATTGTCTTATTATTAGGCAGAGTAAAAGAATGGCTACTGGATCATTTATTGCTAAATGTATAAAAAAAACTAGTTAATGATTTTGAACTTATGACATGATATTTTTATAACAAAAGGTAATCAAGTAATTACAGATTATATGATCATTTCTTTCTAACTAAATGAGAAATGGTATTGATTTATAATAAGTTATTTATTAAATAAAACTGCACTACTAATTATGTGTAGATAAATACATTGATGTTTTATATGTGAATAGTAAGAAATTATTTGGATAAATAATATTTGTTATCCTCCATAGTGAGAGATTTTCATAAATCAAGTTTGTCTACATTTGTTCATTGTCATTCAATAAATGTATGTAGATTATTCGCTGTTTTATTTTTCATGCCCCATAGAATGAAACTGATATTATCTCAAAAGTATAAACATGATTTAAAATTATTATTAGAGTAAAAACAATGCGAAAATATATCTTAAAACTAATCAATTTCTATAATTCACTTTTATTAAGACCTTTTTTGTCAGCCATTTATAAAAATTGATTGACATTGAATTTTGTAATCCATTAGAAAATATAACAGTCGCTGAACAACTAAAACTAACATCATGCTAAATACATCCCAAATATGTATTTAATTAAAATGAAGGCCATGATCTTTGTTTTCATCAATATTTAACTCCTAATTTACCTCTATGGGGCTGCAACATGAGCTATCAACGACTTCGTTGCTAAAACTCTGCTCGTTTATCTTTTGGGGTTGGTCCTATGTATGCTGTGCTTATAACTCGCCAGAGAAAAATCCGGAATGGTCCTCCAGGGTGATTACCCTGCTTCATGGCAGTGTGGCAACTGTGGCTGGGCTGTGGCAATGTGGTGTGACAACTATTACAAAACATTCTCTCACTTGTAAGTTAAGTGATATATTTATATTATTAAATGAAAATTATTAACATCCACTATTAAGAGGCTGGTTTTAAACAACAAAGGGTATATTTAGCTCTTTTTATGTCCATTTAGATATAAATATTTTAATATGACACTCGTTAAAAAGGATTTTTTTTTTTAATTTTATATTCTTTCAGCAAAAATCACAGTAGCCCATTACGCTCTAATGCTGTGGTCGTGGGGCTACTTCGCATTTGATTTGGTGTGGTGCCTTATATACTGGTCTAATAGCTACGTCATACTTTGCCATCATTTGACTGCTTTGATTGGGGTCAATATTTACATGACCAAGGACTACACGGGATGTACGTTCGCCTGCACACTAGCTCTGATGGAGGTTACCAATCCACTTTTGCAAACGCGATGGTTTGTTGCTATAAATATTTTGCAGGCGTTTTTATTATAATTAACGTCATTATATTATAATAGCTCTATCAAAAGCAAAGTTTTTCGAATCTTGAAAATGTGTGTATAGAATGAAATGATTAATTAATAATTGTACTAAAAAAAATTTTGCTTAGCAACCAGAATTTTAAGGTTATTTTTTTAAATCTATATTTCATTTCTAGATGGTCATGGTTAACAGGTTTTATGGGAAAATGATAAATAACTAAATATATATAATAAAATAGATTTATTATTAGATAATAATATTCTATAAACATTACAGGCTTCTGAAAAATGAAGGTTATGGTCAAACGATGCCATTTTACATAATTGAGATAATATATCTGTTGATGTTTGTATCTCTAAGAGGACCGTTCTGTACCTATCTCATATTCAAAATCCTTAAATCAGACATATTGGATACAGATGAGAAGATAGTATCTGTTGTACTATATTTGGTGTCCCTTGAATTGATCTATGAAATACTTAGCTATGTCATGTACAAGTATAAAAGTAAAATAGTAAGTACACTTGTAAAATTCGTTATGTAAATTCTGAATGTAATGATACAGTTTATATAAAAATGATGTTTGTTTTTTTTTTAATTTATTTTTCAGGACACATTCCGGGGATTAGCTAATGAACTTGGTGTAGTATTAAATGATATGCCATAATATATTTTTTATAAAAACAATGTTTACAATTTAAGTAAATAAAACTGTTTTTTATATATTTTGGGATTTCCTTAATTTTCTTGTTAGCATATGTTAACACATACATTATTTGGAAAAGTAGATTTTGAAATAAAAAGTATATGCAAGTATTAAAAATATTCTCAAGTATTATTGTAATAAGTCTATAAAAGTGTTTTAACTAGGAATATAGATTATTTCTATATTAAACTAGATGTTAAATCCTAATTAATCACGCCTCCTTTTTCTATGGGTCTGTCTTTCTCTCCAGTAACTTGTTTTGCTTCTGCCGTAATTGTCATGACCTTCTCTAGGTCTATAGTCGTCGCGATTATGAAATTTCTCTTTAGACCTATAAGGATGGTGTCGATTTGACCAATTACCCTGCAAACTAGCTACTACGAGTTGGTCACTCATATCTTGTCTTTGTGTGGGTAAGTGGTTTGGTTGGGGATTTTCCTCCTTAAGCTTTTCAGTCATCTCGGTGAACTGTTGTGTGACACTAGACTGAGCATTCAAGTCGAGCATCGCTTCGGGGCCATAACATCTAATAGGTGGCGGCAATGATACCATTCGACCTCTATTCTGTAGAAGCAGCGTTCTATGAAACAGTGCTGTGCCACGGAATAAATTAATGGCATATGGCACGGATACTTCATGGCAGTATGTTATAAAAGCGAAATTCTTCTGTCTACCATCTTTGTCTTTTGGTATTATAACCTTTTCTACTGGACCTGCCTGCAAGAGAGATAAATGGTAAAAAAGTATTCAAAGGATAAATTAGTTACGTTTTAAGACTTCCTTACTTGAACAAATAGCTCATAAAGAAGTTCTTCGGTAACTTGTTCCGATAAATTTCCACACCAAACAGTCTTGTTTGCCTCCTCGATCATTTTTTAGGTACGTTTATCTGGAACACGGAAGACGAAATTTCCTTTTGTTTAAATTTCATGTACATTAATTCTGGGCAAGAGGTGTCCGTATTTAAAAGACTTTTATAAACCTTTTTAAACCCTAAAACCTTTAAAAATTTTATTGTTGACCAATACAGAATCGTCAATTGACATTTGACAGCTCAAAATTAAACTTTCCAGTAATTGACTTCTTGCACCTATTTGTTTGACAAATATTATATCTGACTATAGTACCTAATCATTATTTTTTTATATCAATATATAACAATAGATATGTACTATACCGGTATTAAAATATCCTTTTAGTTATAAAATTAAGAATTTTTATTTATCATAAATTTATTGATACTGAAAATATTACAACTTGTTTATAATTGCTATTTCAAGCATAAATACAATAAAATCCAGCACATACATAAATTTACGATAAAAATATGATAAACATAATATTAACAAATATTTTTTTCAATTAAAATATATTAAAAATATTTTTTTTAAGCTGTGTAATCTGTCGGCCATTTTGATGTAAAAAAATATCAAATGTCAATATTTAACAAATAGTGTAGGTACTTTATAGGTTGTACATTTATCAAAAACTGAAATATTAACATTAACGTTTAATACGTTAAGTAGAATAAAAATAAATCCGTAAATAATTTTCATAATATCCTTTTAATCTATTTAGCACTGGTGAGCCGTGAGGTGGATAAATATTTCAATCTGGCGGCCACAATGCTGTGTAGAAGTGTACGTACTGATTAAAAAGGAATTATTTAAGCGAGTATTGGTTACGTTGCTACGTAAAGTTTTTGGATTGCTTTTAGTTAAGACTCCGTGCAGCATCATGGACAACTCCAGCAAACTACAGCAGATGCAAGATGAAATGTCCAGGTATTTACACTATACGAAAATACCGTAATTAATAATGGAACATATAATCATTGTTAATTATTTTAGATTCGAGGCAGAGATCTCGGGATCGGATCTATTGGCTATGCGGCCAGTTATCGGCGCGGGAACCTTTGGGGCCGTACAGCAACAATTGGAGCGTGCTTTACCTCATCCGCCAGCGATGATGCCCCAGTTTGATGTGATGGGAGCTCGCTTGATGTACCCGACTGTACCACCTCCCCCGCCACCGCCATCCATGATGGTACCAGCATCGGTTAGTAAATAATATAAATATAATAATAATCTTTTTTACCAGTAAAAATTACAGATATCCTAAAAAGAAATATACAGAGTAAATTACATGTATACAAAACCAAGAATATCTGTACTTCAGAGATGATTTCCATCTGTACGTAGGATTGGCAGATACATCCAACACAGACAATACTATTCAATATGTAATTACAAAGATTTCAAAACTTAAAATTACAATAACTTATTAAACTATATGAATAAATATATGTATACCTTCAAAACTTAATCGATATTTAAATGTTTTACAAAATACCTGACTTGGTATCATATAGTCTAATAAATTAATTGTTTATATTTACAAATATAAACAAGTAAGTCAGTGGTGGCCAAGTGGTTAAGGGGCCCGCCTCTCGTTGCCGTGGGTGCGGGTTCAACCTGGCAAGTACCAATGTGATTTTTCGGAGTCATATGTACTTTCTGAGAGTATTTAGACATCACTGACATACGGTGAAGGAAAACATCGTGAGGAAACCTGGACTTATACATAGTTTCACAATTATAAGTTTGAAATCACCAACCCGTCTTGAGCAAGCGTGGTGATTAATGCTCAAACCTTCTCCATGTGAGAAAGAAGCCTTGCTCAGCAGTGGGCTCTGATAGGCTGATGACATGACATTTACAAATTGTTTTTGCAATTTACATATCATCTTTACCCCACTTTCCTTATGTTATTGAAATTATTTTACTACATTTATGATCAATAAATAGCTTGAAAATATATGAAGTTAAGACAAAATATGAGTACTAAAAGTATACTATTATACATGATATGTGTTTCCCCATAGTATCTTTATATTTGGGTATAATTTCAGGTGCAAAGACGCCCACCGGGCAGTGAAGTTTTTCCCCCTCATCCATTCATAAGACCAGGGATGCCCGGGCCTCAAATACCACCTCCACCTCCGAAGCCACAGCCAGTAGTACTCACCGCAGCTCCCAAACTGTATAAACAATCCAAGGAAGACGAGGCCTTAAAAGATCAACTCGATGGCAAGAAAAGGGTACTTTTTTATATAATTTCATTATCATAAATCAGTTATTCCATTGTCATATGATCTTGTTAGGCGACTTTGAATGAGTATAGTTTTTGTCATTAACAAAAAACAAAAGTTTCAATTAAAGGGTAGACTAAGTCACTATCATATAGGTATTGAAATCAAAAGTGGTCTAACAAATTTAGAGATTATTTCTAACAAAAGGACAGACATGCATAAATAGCTATAAGTGTTGTGTATTCAACGTAATATGTATTTGTATTTTTAGAAATGATTTTTTATACTACAGACAGTTAAAATTTTATTTACTTATTGCTTTTCATTATTTAAGAAAATTTCTTTGTAACTACATGAACCCATCTTACAATATCTTATAACACTATGGAAACTGGAAGGAGTATAAATTGTTTTTTAGGGATTTTTTTGTGTTTTTTTAAACCAAACTTTATTAATATTACTTACAAGTCACAACTGATTGCCTACATGCCTTCAGGCACCACACATTCTCTCTAGCTCTGTCTGTTTTTATCTTTAGAGTGTCAGAAATTAACAACCTTTTAATTTGCATAAGTAGTTTCACTTCAAAAAACTATTCATAGTAAATCTGAGAAGCTATTTATTTATGTAAATAATTATTTAAACTCTCCTATATTAATGAATTAACTGTTTCAGAAACGTGAACGTCCACTGACTCCTCCTCGAGAGCCTGAAATAGAGCCTTTACCACCACCACCCATTGTTCACATAGATACCAATGTACCAAAGGCCAAAAAGGAGAAAAAACATCGAAAGGTTATTATCATCCTATAATATTAACCTGCATATTACAATAACTATTTGAATTACATATCCCTACTAATATTATAAATGCAAAAGTAACTCTGTCTGTCTGTCTTTAACGCTTTCACGCCTAAACCACTGAACTGATTTTAATGAAATTTGGTACAGAGATGGAGTTGACTTTGATAAAGAACATAGGATAGTTTTTATCCCAGACTTTTGAAAGGTTTTCTTGGAAACGCGATGTAACCGAATTCCACGCGGGCGAAGCTGCAGGCGGAAAGCTAGTAATCATATATAATATGTACCTGTAGAAAAAATTTTGAAGATACCAAATTATTGCTAGATACATTCAGTCATATTAACACTTTTTAATACAAATAATATTGTATTAAATCGAAGTTAAGAAAAAAACTAGAGACAAAATTGATTTACTTACTTGATTTTGTAGTATTGTAGAATCATTAATTACTTATTTATAATTTTAACCTGTAATCTTAGAATCAATCAATCCTTAAAAGTTCATGAATTTTATTATAACATGTCAATAATTACACAATTCCATCGCCATATGGAAAGGTTGAGTAGGAATATTATTTTTATTTAAAACCAGTTTTGCTTGCGACTGCATCTGCGTTACTTTCATAATTATAAATGTATAGCTGACCAGGCAAACTCTGCTAGTTCCTAATCGCAGGAAATAAGAAGTTTTTGGATTTTATCATCTTATTTTTCTCTTTAAATTTCATGAAGAGTATGCTACGTCTTTTTCCTGGTTCTAAGCTATCACTCCACTAATTTTCAGCCAAATCTATACATAATTCTTTAGTTATAAATAGTATAACTAGCACGACTTTGTTTTATATATAAAAGATGTCAATAACATTTTAATATACTTATATTCATAGGTCTTTCTAATGTATATTTTAACAACAAGCTTTAGAAAATCCTTGTTATAATCCTTGATCCTATCTTCTTCTTCTATATATATAAAAATGGATTGCTGTTCCTTAGTCTCGCTAAAACTCGAGTACAGCTGAACGGATTTATCTTATCTTAGTCTTGAAATGTTTGTGGAGGTTCAGGGAAGGTATAAAAGCTGAAAGAAATTGATTCATAACTGGGAAAACAATAAAAACAGCCCTTTTCTATTTCCCATACAAACGTTTTTTTTTTTTGACATTAGATTTGACAATTAACTAATATGTCAATCATTCTGTCGCACTTCAAAACACGGAGATTTATGGCTTACAGGTAAACTCCAAAAATATAAATAAAAAAACGTAAGAGATATTTCTTGATTATAGGGCGATACGAAGTTCGCCAGGTCTTCTAGTATACAATAAATTAACTAGAAAATCCTTGTAATACAATAAATTTATATATGTTTTTCTGTTCGTAGGTTGTGCGTACTGCCGGCGGTCAAACTTGGGAAGATGTGACCTTACTTGACTGGCCCGACGATGACTTTAGAATGTTCTGCGGAGATCTTGGAAACGATGTTACTGATGAACTACTGGTTTGTACTTAATCTATGATATTTGATAGTATAATAATTAAATTAATATATCTTGTACTTATATATCTACCAGCCTTTCTATAGTTTGGACTGGAGATTGTAAGACAGCACAAATAACATATCTATATATTTGACATTGTAAACGTGTGCAACGCGATGGACCCGGCACCCGCACGGTGAATCCATGGATTGCTGAGAAGTTTCGTCTCCTATTTTTTTTACATAATTCGAATGAGAATCATGTACCGAGAATTCTCCTTAAATATTGATAGTAATTCACCAGTCACCCTGTATATGTGTAAAATTTTACATCCATTTTAGATTTGAAGGATAAAAAATATACTTTATTATCTCTTTACAAATATAATAATTATATTTTCTTTCATATTTCAGACCAGAACATTTGGCAAGTACAGTTCATTCCAAAGAGCAAAAGTTATTAGAGACAAACGGACAAACAAAAGCAAAGGTTTTGGTTTCGTCAGTTTCAAAGACCCCGGAGACTTTATTAAGGCTATGAAGGAAATGGATGGTGAGTTAAAAAATCACTTTGAAACTTTGACTTACTTTACAAAACATTAATGTATAGGGGAATATATATTGATAAGAGCATATTTTGTAAGGAACTACCTCATAAGATTTAATTTGAAACCTTTTTATGTGATTTTGGTATTAATATTTTTTTTTATCTGAAACATGGAATTTTCAGCTTATCTGAAAATATAGGTCAAGTGTATGTAGTTATTGTCAGCAGAAATGGTAGCATCATTAAATGACACTATTAAAATTATAATATTTGAAAAATAGTGTACACATTAGAAACTATTGTTAAGGGAAACAGGTTAAATGAAAAGTAACATATTGTACCACACTTAGCTAAGTCTGAACAAGTGAAATAACATTTTATTCTTAACCAACTTCAATTCCAAAATTTGCTAGTAAGAAGAAGATAGATAAGCATTCTCATCGAAATATTATCTTCATACTAAACATATACAGTTAATAGTTTTTATTCACTATATTGTGTTTGGATAAAATATTTTATAATACTAACATTAAGGGTACCGAAATCTAAAACATTCATCATCAATCATCACCAATATATATATGTTCAAAGTGATGAATCTTTATTTATACAAAAATATATTAGTACCTATAATAAACGTTTTAACATTTAAATCAGTGTATATTGTTACAAGTGGCGCCCTCCGTGCCGTACTAATTATAATCATTAGAATTATCTTGATGACTCATTATAATTAATTATAATACTGAACCATTATAATTTTGTAATCACAACAACTACAAAATTACAAATATAATTGAAAATGAAGTCTTAAACTGTACCTCGAACAATATAGTGTTGGTTGTATAAATTACTTGGTTGAGTGTTTCGCGTCCCATCTTTAAATCGCCTGTCTAGTAAATAGGAGATCGCGAGTTCGAATCTCGCCGGGGCCTGGATTGATGAGTTTTTTGGGGAATTTGATAATATAAAATATTTTATCTATATAAATATTTATATATGACGAATATGGAAATAACGTCATATTGCAGTATTTGTTAATAATGATATCTATATTAATATTTTTGGGTTTGAAACCGGGAGTGAATAAAAATGTACAACAAAGTGATATCTGAATTATATGTTTTATATATTTCGCAGGACGCTACGTCGGCAGTAGACCCATAAAGCTTAGGAAGAGTACTTGGAAGAATCGTTCATTGGATGTTGTGAGGAAGAAAGAGAAAGAAAAGGCTGCACTCCTCTCACAACTCATGTCGGGAAATAAAAGTTGACATACGACTATAGAAAGTGACTTGTGAATTGACAAATTAATTCACTTATATCAATAAAGTTATTTTATTCTATTATTTTTCTTTCCTCCTAGAACTTATTAACATAATAGGTATACCTTTATATGTTTATGATTTTTTTTATTATGTCGATTCAATTTTAATAACACTTAATTATAATTAGGAAATAAAACAGATATGTATATATATAGAGCCTTCCGTAGATGAGAAAAAATACATCATATTGACAAATAATTTATTTTTATAGCAAAATTCTTTGGCTTAATATTAAAAATAATTCACGATTGTACTTCCCCTAATTTAAAACTTAACAAATATATGACGACTTTCTTTAATTTATTACATTTTCAACTTCAATATATTAAGGATTTCATTGATAATTTATAAACTTAAAAATCTAGTACCCTTAATTTCTTTCATTGTCTTTTAGAGCACAAATTTTGTGGTCCCTATATTCGTAGTATGAACTAATTACATACTATTTTGCCGCCAATATTAGTATCAAAGGCAACTTGTGATTGCAAATGTGAGTGGCCAGGATTATAATTTTTTTTAATTATTTATTTATTTATTTTGGAAATACCATCGGCATATTCACAAAAGATATGTGAAAAAAAAAATATAAAAAAGGAAACTTGTACAGTGTGATACACCATTACAGGTATTTACATTTTACTATGACTATCCAATTACTATAATTATCCAATGACTTCTTTTTTTTTGGCGGCAAAAAGAGCTGTCACTTTTTTTTTTCTTATTGTCCTGGTTTAATCCTGGCCGCTCTCAGTCTGCTCCCGGGTCTTGGCCGGCTTGGTCGTTGTATTCTCGGCGTGGTGGTAGCCGCTGCCTCATATTGCTTATCTAGACAGCAGCGTTCGTCACCTTCGAGAAGACCGCTCGTCTTTGGGCAGAACGGCGCGCTGAAATCTTCTAGACAATAGGCTCCTGACGCACTGGAATTTTTGTTAGTATATTTTTTATTAAGATCTCTATTATGATAGATAATTAGGGATAACTCTTTCAAACATTTAGAATCACAGTAAATAGAATTCGATGACAATGAACTGACTAAACTTAAAATAGGTCTAACATTTTTCTGCTTATTAAATCGTTGTAGTAACATTATAAACCAACCCTATCGGGATTTAAAACTAATCTTTCCTCATTGCTAATAGAGAAAGCTTTATATGCGATAAGAATACGTGGAATGGAATTGAATTAGTTTTGTTAGAAATTACTTACGTCATCGGCGCTGGTTGTCCCAAAGGCACAGGTAGAGCTGCGGCCCTAGCTGGTGGAACTCTGACTGAACACCTCCGACCACAAGGAGACGCCGGTCGCATTCTGAACAAACTCTCAGCTTGATAACAGATAGACCACACGTGGCTACACAATGCCTCGTCTGAAAAGAAATTTTGAAATTATATACTTCGCTAGTAAATTAAAACAGTCTAAAACTCTACTATAAGTCTACTATATTAAAACAGTCTAATAAAACAGTTCAATACGAACTATTAAGCATATTGGGTAAAAGAGGTATATGAATATCTAGTCTAGTTTTAAGACGTATAAATAGTTTCCATCTCAACGATGGTAAGTTATTGATCGGTGCCTATAAATAATACAATTTTATCATACAACCCTTTGGTAAATTACATTCGCCTGTGAAAGAGTCCATTATATATAGTAGGAATTTGAGATTTATATTAATTTATTTTCTACGTCACAATTAAAACACCTTTCTCAATTGCATCTTTGAAACCAAACCCATAATTTTACTTTCGTCTTAATATTGTTAGTATCTTGTCTAAACTTTTGCTGGTTTGTGATTTAGCATGACATTCGCATGCCAATTGCCATACAAAACTATGATTACTTTATGCATTTTAAGTCAACATAAGTATCGTTTTCCTAAAATACGACTTATTGTGGGCCAACGCATCTTAAGTGAATGTACCTAAATGAAAGTTCATAATGTTTCTGTTGCTTTTTCAAACAAGATATACTTTACGGATTTTGATGGAAATTTACAGATTTTTTTTAATACAACAGAATTTGAAAAAAAAATATAATTATATATTGTTCGACGTACTTAATGTTCAGCGTTACTTCCAGTAATGCCTTACAAAATGGCTGAAGCCAATTATAATTTTCAAATACAAGTTCAAATTCACAATGGTTCAGTACTATAAAAAGACATAAAAAATACTAATAAGGATTATAGTATTTTATAAATAGTACACAGATGGCGCCACTTGTACCAATATAAGCTAGCATATAGTTTTACTTATAGCTTACGTGATCTTATACATACTGGGGGTATCCTCGCAATATGGTTGACTTCTTCCACCGTTGAGACAGAAGTCCGCATGTCCAAGCCTGGCACCTTCGCCGTACCTCCCAGCATTAGTGTGTAATACATGAACAGCGCGAGCATCTCCTGGGTCTAAACGAAGCGGGGGCGCGGACCTAATAAGAGGTCTTGCAGGGTCCAAACCTATAACATTATTTGTTATTAAGGCTAATATATTGATATTATTTTTATCTATTAGCAATAGGTACGTCACAATTAACACATCTATTTCAATATCGTCTTTCAAATCAAAATGATTAAGAATTTAAAATAGTTAACTCTTCGTAATTCATTGCTGATATACTTATATTGTTTGGAATACGTAAACATATGTGGTTTAAAAAGATTGATACCCAAAAAAAAATATAGTGCTCGATGGTTTGATTAATCATGTGAAGAAACCTTCTTTTATATAAATAAGTTTTTCATCGGAAATAAAAAAAATACACAATTGAAAACAAAATATAGGATAGGTATATAGGAAACGGTTGAATCTTAAGCCAAAAGTAATAAGGTATAAAATATTATCTTACCAATTATTCTGTTAAGTCTGAAGTTCAAATAGTTTGCCATGATGCCGCACATATGAGCCCCGAGCGAGTGTCCCACGCACGTCAATCTATCCGGTCTTAGACCAGCTCGTCTCAATGAACCGAAGGCTTCAGCGACACATCTAGCTACGGGACGTAGATTATGTACGGCGGCGACGTAACACGGAGGCTGGCAAAGACGACCCCAGTCCAACATAAACACGTTGTACCCACCGCGACGCAGATACGCTGGATATAAAGAAATTTATAAATAAAACCTTGTGATGGCTTAGTTAAAAGCCCGCCTCTTGTGTATGTAGACGCGGGTTCGGGTTTTCCAAGTCATGTACTTTCTAAGAATATTTAGACACCACTGACAGATAAAGGAAAACATTATGAGGAAACCTGGACTTATAATATGAAATTATGTATAAGCAGCAAGCGTGGTTAATGCTCAAACCTTCTCCATGTGAGAATATGTCTTTGCCCAGCAGTGGGCTCTGATAGGCTGATGATGATAAATAAAACAATCCAAAACACAGCGTTGTATAGGTACCTACTGATCGGTATTGTATTGATTTTGTAATGTGATCTAGGAGTCGATAGATCAACTTTTACAAACAACTTCAACTTTTCTATTTAATAACTATCTGTAAACAATTTAAAATCGTTTTTTTTTTTTATCAAACAGCTTTCGCTTTTCATCCGCTTTTATTATATATTATTTTACAACAGCAATAATAATCTGCAATTTATTATGTAACTACTTTTTTGTTCTATTAGATGTACTCAAATATACTCGTAAGCTTGACATAATAATTGCTCTTAGAAAACATGTAACAAAGACTATTTTAGACATAAAAAGTAAAGGAACAGGTTCTAAAAAATTTATTAAGATATGTGAAACTTAAAATCCGTATAATAATTATTATAAAAAAGTTCTACAACAAAATAATATGGTCATTATTATAATGAATCACTACACACTTAATTTACTCTCAAACTTGGAAAAGTATTTGGAATTAACTAAAATACAATTGATTATTTAAATCAAACTAATATTTTCATATATACTACGCGTGCTTTATTTTTGCAAAAAACAACATACTCCGGACGTTTCGGCTACTTTTCAGCAACCGTGATCATTAAGAGATGTGATTACGCGTATTATATACGAATAATATTAGTTTCATTTAAAATAATAAAACTAGTGAAAGTCTTATAAGTAATTAATTAAATTGTTTCTACATAGTAACTAGTAGTATAATAAAAATGCGAATTGTATCCATGCGGGTTGTGACTTGTGGTTCAGGGTAATGAACCGAGTTGTATGGGAGAAAGTGCTAAATAACTTAGTAAGCTTGAACAGGGCTACTTTCACTGGCTATTACTGGTCCCTTAATGAAATACCATCAAAGGTATATACCTAAAGGATATATTACATTTTCTCCATTTTAAGGAAAGTAGTTTACAATAAAATATAATATCGTGAAAAATTTTCCTTTTCTCATAAATGCTTATAAGCTTATACTGTCTCGAATTTTTTTTTTAACGAATAGACATGAGATTTCTAACGTAACCTAAGGAAAGTAATAACATCTCGTCTGCCCGTGATCACGGTTGCTGCAAAGTAACCGAAACGTCGGGAATATGTAGTTAAAATATTCATAATAAACGAAAATATTAATTTCATTTAAATCAATACTCTCCAAAGTCTTAAATCTCATTATAAAACACATAATTGAGGATGATGCACGAAATATTTTCTTATATATCGTATTAAATTAGGCCCTGATTAAGGAGAAATCTATACCCAAACCTCTATAACAAATTAGGTCGAATTAAATATAAATTTAAGTATATCACTATAATATTTATAATATATTTATAGATAGATTATAGCATATAGATGTTAGTTTTAGATCTCATTAAATAGCAACATCTGTTTACTTACCGTCTCTTAAAACGACTATAGGCAGAGTGTCATCCCCGCCGGCATAGCCATGTATAAGCAAAATGGTCTCATGAGAAGGTTCCCAACCACTTTGACGCAGCCAATCCTCGCTGAATAAGTCCACCTATAACAAATATAAACGAATTTAGTAAAGCATTCATGTTATAGGGAAGACTGGGTACGGTTAAAACATTTTATCTTTTATAGTTTACTAGCTTTCCGACCGCAGCTTCGCCCGCGTGGATTTCGGTTATATCGCGTTTCCAAGAGAATCTTTCAAAAGTCTGGGATAGTAACTATCCTTTGTTCTTCCTCAAGGTCAACTCCATCTCTGTACCAAATTTCATTAAAATCAGTTCAGTGGTTTAGGCGTGAAAGCGTAAAAGACAGACGGACAGAGTTACTTTCGCATTTATAATATTAGTAGGGATTGATGATTATGATACATGAAATTCAAATTTGAAGTGTTGGCTACGTTATGGCTGTACCATACTAGTTCTCGGGCTATTTTTTTTAATATATGAAATTTATAAAAATCTAACAAAAAAAATCGTTGTGTACTTAGTAGCTTATTTTCAACGGCCCTCAAGTCGTAAAAGTTGATTCAATATCATCTTGAAAACAAATGACGAAAGTTAAATGCCATTCATATAAATCGTTGGCAGATATCTTTGAATTTATTAATGAAATACTTCAAAATACATTCCCCTAGCTAAATATTGTTTACTTGTGTTATGAGTGTATTTATAAAGATTTGAAACTAATTACAATGTGTCAAAGTTTTAATCTTCTACATAACGTCTTTTATTTATTTTATTCATCAATAATGTCTCAACCGAACTGAACTGTCTCGAATAAGGTACTGGCGGAGGATGTAGAGCATTTCATGTTACAACACAATGCCAAGAAATCTCATTTATAACTATATCTCACAAACAATGCCTATAAAATACTGGCTTACAAGTTAATAAAAAAATTTACAATGTCTTCTAGTAAAGGATACGAGATAACTAATTAATCAATAAATATTTGAGTAATAATAACTTACTATAATACTCCTAAAGTATTTCAAACTATTTTGTAACTTCTATATTAGGAAGAGCAAATTAGAATCAAAAAATTAATGTCACTAAAGGAAAAGCCTCTGTCATTTTGCAGTAAGGACGAGTAGCGGTATTCCTCACAAACACACCATATAGTTGACTGACACAGTTTGTTTAAAATATTGACCCGAAATAATATTTGTACAGTTGATGATTTGAACGAATTTTTATAACGGAGAATACTTATTTTCGAACTAATTGATTTGAAGATACTTTTCCTTTAATGTTTATGTCGAAAACAGAAAAAAGTTTAAATAGAAATGTGGAATTACATAATACTTAAAGAAATTAAGATACAGAAACGTAATATTTTTAATATTTATCTATTTCAATTATGTAGTATTAACAATAAATTATTGTTAATATGTTATTGTAATTATTTATATTTAACTAATTCAAAAACTAAAGTAAAATTGTTAGATAATTTTAATATAAGGATTAAAACTATATTTTTTACTATAATTTATAATTAAAAAGTATGTCAAATAATTTGTATAATTATCAACATATACGGCCAAGGCTATGTTCTCATGTTTCGTGGTTTTTGTTTACTCTCGTACAAAACAAAATAGTTATAACAATACTTACGTGAGATGAGAACCATTTATGTCACGCACATTCAAAATAGGTAATAATTATTTATTTTATGATAAATTATAATTAAAAATAATGATGAGAGTTAAAAAAACACCTAAAGAAAAGATTTCTGATGAAATACTTTTGATCTACGAGATTGTTTTAGAACAGAGTGTATATAAGGATGAATTGAAAACTTTTTCTAATTATTTATGAAAATAAAACACTTTCTATTTGATTTAATCTATTGTGTATTCCTAAAACGTTTCTAACGGAGTCTTGACGCCCGGTTGTGTGTTGACTGTAGTCCATGAACTGATTTCATTTACTCCACTAATATACACTTACACTCATATCAGCATTGTTGCTAAATTTTATGCAATTTTTACACGAAAAACTATTATAGTATCAACGATCTATTGTGTGTTATAAACATGGAGACAGAAAGAAATATATATTATGAAATTGTTTAAATTAATTAGTAATTACTTATAATATACCTATTATTTAAAACATTTTTATTTTAAATATAATAATAGTAATTTTATTATGTTAAATAAAAATACCTCTTTCTTAAATGGTTCAGCTTCTGTATATAAATTGATGGTAACATCAGGATCTGGACAAGGCTCACGCTCCCGGCGCCACACGCAATCATCCAAAGAGGTATTAAAGGCGTCGCTATTTAAAAACAGAGCCTCTTTTATTGGCATGCGTTGTGCTAAAACACCTACGAAAAAAATGAATCTATTAAATTCTATTATCAATAAAAAATATGTCGTTTTATTAAATTTATATTAATTAAATAAATTACCGTTAAATAAAATCGCAAGTGCGAATCCTAAGTGGACCAGCGCCATCCTTGCACGCGGCTTCCAATGTTACTGTCTACTGAGCAATACTGTTGTTAAAGATTGCAGTGACGGGCCACGCAAGAGAATCCTATCCCTACTTTTTGTATTGTAATGCATATATAAAATATTTATATAATAAAACGTTACTATACTAATATAATTAACAAAAATACTTTTATTTTTGGTTTATAATTAACTAAGACGTGTATATATATACATTTGTTTTTTCTTACTATACTGAAATAGGTTAGGTATTTTCTATTAGACTTCTCTATTTATCAAATAATTAATTGATTAACTATGTATATTTTAGTTTACTAACTGAATTGAATAACTACTTATAAACGGTTACATATTTTCTTTTACAAATCGAAATCTTGATATTCGTCTTTGCACATTTATTTTACGTTACGAAGACAATATATAAAATAATATTTGTATGTCTTATACAATAAAGTTCTTATGATTAAACTTAAATACTAACACTAGCTACCTTGTTTAGAAGTAATAGTCTTCTTAATTATAGAAAACTACATATCTTCGAACAGAAAAGGATGAAAAATATTTTGCTATTTATACGTTTTACTCAAACAATACATCGTAAAGTGCGTTAAAGTAACTTTACATTAAGCTATTAAATCGAAACTATTCTCAAAGTAATTTTTACACTACCGACTAGTTTATATAATAAAGACATTGAGAGACATTCCTTGTGTACACCAGAAATGTTCCGCTTAATATAATGAATGGTTAAGGTATATGTGGGGGCAGGTAAGAGAATACGATAGAGCGAGATGTCGAAAGGCTCTACAGACTGCGCAGGCGCAGGTAGAGTAAGACGAACCAGTCATAGATACGCAGGCCGCGAGATCGCTTTACTGTACAACGTCGAAACAATAATAACCTGTTTTGAACTATCAACATCATTACAACCTCAAAAAGCGAACTCGCAAACATAATAGGCCGTCATTTTGTTAGCATTTCAAGGTTTTCACGTGATTATTTGTGTATAATAAAACAACGCGGAGTGTTTCATTGTGTTCATGCGACGTTTTACGTAGCCGCCGGCGTTCCCCTCTCATTCATCAGCCGTTGAACTCATTCCACAGCTATAATAAAGTTTTGGAAATGTTCCTACGAGGATGCGAGCGGTGTATCCATTGAACTGATGACTGTTCCGGCAACGGTGTCAACGATGTCAATCAGACAAACCGGTGAATTCATAAAACATCAACAACTAGGCAAACAGGGCTCGGAACCGGTCAACTTTCCACCGCGCTATCATCCACCACCTGCCGCTGCGAGCTCCAAATTACCCACTACGGACGCGACCGCTAAGGAATTCAAACCTAATACTAAAACTATAGATCCAAATAAGTTTCAATATCCAGTGGGAGTGCCCAATACGACTCCGGGTTTATACCCGCCCGGTGCCTATCCTCACCTCAAGTATTTCCACGGCCCGGGATATCCATTACCTCCCGCGGCTTTACGGATGATACGACCGAGTGGTGAGATCGTCACCAAAGCTATAGTACACGAACCTGTCGAAGCAACGGCGAGGGCGAGGAGTGCCGACGATACACAACGTGCTCATCGAAATTTAGAAGAGGAACAGATACACAGACGATCCGCTGACATGCTCAAGTTCACGAAACGTATCGAATCTGATGCTACTCGTCAATCGACCGATCAGAGGCGGCAAATTCAAACACTTTTAGACGAAATAAAAGCATTGAAAGAGGCTAATCGGCGATTAAGCGAAGATAATCAAGAGCTCCGTGACCTGTGCTGCTTTTTAGATGACGATCGTCAAAAAGGTCGTAAACTAGCGCGCGAGTGGCAACGATTTGGAAGATACACGGCTTCCGTGATGAGACAAGAAGTGTCGGCCTACCAAAACAAACTGCGTGAGTTGGATGATAAGCAACAAGAACTCATACGAGATAATTTAGAATTAAAAGAACTATGCCTGTACTTAGATGAAGAACGCGAGCGTATGTCGTGCGTGAATTGTGGAAGGACAGCGACCAGAGAGAGGGACGACGGCGATGGAAGCAGCAGTGGAACAAACGCTGAAGAAGTAACACGACCACAGACCGCTTCTATATCAATAACACATCCACAACTTGCTGAACGTACTGTTCAATACGTGAGAGACTTGGAACAAAAAGTAAGACGATTAGAAGCAGAGAAAGGTATGGGAAATGGACTGAATGAAAGGCCAGAAGCGGTGGTACGAGCATTACAAGTGTTGGAAGTAAGAGAAAGAGTTGAGAGAGAAAGAAGAAGACCAGCTCCTGACTTAGATTGTGGCGAACAAGCGCTAGTGAGGGAAATGTGTAACGTTGTTTGGGGAAAATTAGAGGACGCACCACCGCAGGCACCGCCGCGTTGAATAACTTGTATTTACGATTTTATTGAGCAAATAAATGTTATGTGTGAGATAAGCCATTCGAAAGCGAAGATCGCTCGGAATTCCAGATTATTGAGGTCACACAAGCATGTCGTGGCGTGACCTACAGAATACCTTAGGTACTGGCCTTGTTTACAATCGGATGTAGTGTAGTTTGAACTGTTACAATATAATAATGAATAATGTAAGATACGTCCCGCTTGCCACATTGAAACTAGTTAGTTATGCTTGAATTAATAAATCTTAAAGTACAAAATTAGAATAAGATTGCTTGCCTAATTGTAATGTTATAGAATAACTATGATTATTAAAATTGTTCTAAGTTACATAGCACTTATGAGTTATGAGCCGCTTATTTTGTAAGAATAGTTTTTAATGAGGCTAAAACTAATTTATTAATTTTGTCTGTGATTAATTGTCCTTATGATTGTTCAAAATATAAATGTAACCAGAGGCATTTTTTAAGTACAAACTGTGAATATTTAAGAGTTCAATTTGTCAAATTATAAAAGTAAGATACCGTAGCGTTTTTCATCTCTTTCTAGTCGATGTCATTGAATAACAATATTTACTCACTGTCACCCAGTTTGCCCTGTTATTAATATGTTATTTATTATTGATTTACTAAAAATAAATTATTTTCTTTTTATTACTTATTACATTTTTATTTTAGCAAAATACAAAGCTTTAGTTGCTATAAAAGCAACTGAAATAAAAAGCATTACACTATTCAGATATAAAAAGTATATTTTTTTATATTATAGTTTTTGTTCAGAATACCATTTTCTGAATTAACGATAGCAGGACATGTCTTGATTTCTTTCTACATTTTTAACATGTTAATAGTCAATCAAATAAGAATAAAACTTTGCCCCATTCACAATTCTTTGATATCATTATACTTAAAACTAGGTAATTAAATCAAACTTCATGGCATAAAACCTTCTCTGTCACTAAAGTAGGTTTTTTAAAATTTAAAAGTCCTTAATTTGACGGTTGCCTTCACGATGGCTGAAGATAAGGGCGAAGGTGCTGAAGATGTGGATACTATTGGTGTAAATATAAAGAGAAATAAATATTATAATGCCATGTAAAAAAAGACATAATATATAAAAAGATATTTTACTTCTGTTTTAAAACAATCTACTTCTCAACGCCTTAACAAATTTAATAGCAAATATTCACATCGACGTAATATTTTCTAGATATACGTAGGAGGCAGAAATGCAGATGGAGATAGGCACGGCGAAGGTTGGGCTGTTTTACCCAACGGAGATTTCTATCAAGGTTGCTATTGTAGAGGAATGAGGAGTGGAAAAGGCCTTTACGTGTTTAAGAACGGAGCACGTTACGAAGGTAGCGCCTGTTGTATTACTAATATAAAAAATAATTGGCAATGGACGTTGTTCAAGTTTTAAGGTATAATAAAATATTCAGTCTTATGGCTGCCTATACCTCGCTATACCCTGCTGTTAAAATTGTATAAAAACTATGTTTAGCAGTGCATGGTTATAAATATAGTATAATAAGGATCATGATCTACTTAAGGCTTATGACGTATATTTACATACCTGTACTTACATGCAATTAAATAAACATAATAAAGTATATTCAAAATATAAAAATTACCTAGATATGTGCACAAAGACCCAAAATTTTAAACACTTAAAACGATTGCTTATTGACTAATTTTTTTTGTAAAGGAAGGCAACATGGCACTGACTAAAACAACAGCAAAGAACTCTAAAGTTGTAGGATCATGAAAGAATTTTTATAGTATGAGAAACTATGAACTTAAAATTTTACCTGTATAATATTCGCTGTACGAAAAGAACTAAAGTACTCGAATATTTATTCTTTAGATAGGTCATATAAAGGATACTAGAGAATTTTTACTGCCTATATAATATAGGTAAGTTCAGCAAAATATTATCATTTTAGGCGAATGGCGTAAAGCAATGAAGTACGGTGTAGGTCATATGACGTACCCCGACGGGTCACGATACGAGGGTGACTGGAGACATGACCTCAAGCACGGCTTCGGTGCTTACTACTACCCTAACGGCGACATCTATGAAGGTGCTTGGTTTAAGGGAAAACGACACGGACTTGGGACTTATTTTATTGCAGAGTATCAGGTTTATAATTTGGAATAAGCTTGACTAATATTCTTCTTCTTCCTGGCAATTTCCCAGCTTCAGCCAGGGTGTGAAAACGCCTTGACTAATATTCTTATCAACTTAAATCAGGTTCATAATTTGGGTACTTCTGTCGGATAGTGACGTACATTAAAGAGGATAAAGGTTTTAGTTAGTGCTCAAAGTAAACAAAATATTTGACTTGAATCTGTACTCTCGATCAAATGATTACGAATATATTCGTAATCATTTGATTTAATACAATTTTCCGTTTTCTATTAATATATCTACGATAGTATAAGATATGGTTAGAACGTTAAAAATTTCTGAGAAAAAACAGATAGTAACTATCCGTGATTAATATGGCTAATCGTAAGTGTACTGACATATTCTTTCATTTCTAAGATAAAATTCATGGGAACCTGGGTGGAAGGTGTGATTGAGGGTCCGGGGCAGATCATATACCCTCGTGTAAGATACCACGGCTCGTGGCTGAGAGGGAAACCGAAAGGACCAGGCTGTTTTGTTTTTGACACGAATTGCATGCAGCATGGCTTTTATTTGCTTACAAAAGACCCAGATCTAGAAGAATTTGGTGAGGGCGAAGAAGAAAAAGAGGAAAAGGAAATAAAAGAAGAAAGATTGGGAGAAGGAGAGGAGGAGGAGGAAATTGATGAGACATTAGGTAAGAGAATGATTATATACGAACATTGAACTATGATTACAGATAAATGTATCAACAAGTAAATTTGTAATTACTTAAAAGGTATCTTACAAAAGGTTAAAAAACCGATAGCAAAAATATAGTGTTTGTAGTATTAAATGGTAAAAAACATCGGTAGAAAGAAATCCAGTAAAAGTTGGGTAAAAACCAATACAAAGAATATAGTGTTTATGAAAGAAAAAACTCCTGGCTACATAACATCAAATTTGTCGAATTCAATATATTTATTTTGGAGATTATCTATAAACATTTTTCTTTATTGCAGGCAAAATTTCCGTATGGAGAGCTCGCAATATAACAGCATACATGTCAGAGTTTCTGCCTCCCGAGCCCGTTCCGTTGCCCATACATGATTCAATACCATCGCTGACCGATGAAAGTATTGAGACGGATATAATTAAATTTGAAGCACCGTCGGTCACTGCTGAGGAAGGTGGAGGGGATACAGACTCCTGGCTTCTACATCGACAACAGTTTATAGAAGAAACTGTTAAAGAACCAGTTACAGACTAAAATGTACTAAGATGACAAAGATATTACTTTTATTTGACATAGAAGATATTTTAATTATTTAAATATAATAACTTCAATTCCTTGGCTTTATTTATGTTTATTGTTATAAAAACAATGATTATTTCTCAAAGAAAAATAGTCGCTACTGAGAGGGGATAAAATAAAATAATATAATCATAATCATGGTATTTAATATTTAATAAAATTATAGTCAATTCTAATTTTAAAGAAGAAATTTAAAAGAGTAGCATTTTAATGGAGAAAAAATAAAACCTTATTGTTGTTGAAAATTAATTGTATCCTTCTTTTACAGATACTTAATAAAAAATTAAGTTTGTATCCGTTGTATATATTATATTTATACCAATTAATAACAATATTAATTTAAAGCATTAATCTTTAGGCAAAACTACACTAAAAATACAAGTTTGAGAGTGCAATGTCCTTTCCACAACCCATTTACTTTAATGGTTTAGTTTCTTATATAGCTACGTACATTAAAAACTTTGTACACTATATTGTACAACTGGCATCTATTAAGTTAAAATTGAGTGTTGGCAGTCCTATAGAAGAATCTTCTGCACCAACACTATGTTTGCGTATTTTGGGGCGGATTGCTATTGGCACCTGAGTTATTATTATCGAATGTGCTCTTATTCTTTAGTAGATATGCAGCTAGATAGTTTATAGGGTCCGGTGGACGTTCTTTGGCTAGAGCTGATAAACCCTGCAGCAGTATAGGAACTACTGTCTGGTCCAGATATTGACGTGTTGGTAGTGCATTGAGATCAATACGAGATTTACGATTGGCGTTCGTTTCATTTTCTTTTTCCATTGATATTATTTTCTGAAACGAATTGAAAGATGTTAAAAATATTTTAATATAACGACTTTAATAGAACAATTGAAGTTTTCATGTATTTATTTATATCTGTTTGTCAAGGAAGTAATTACTAATCCTTTCGTGATAAATTTTAGATATATTGAAGTCTGTAATAATTTTGTTACACTAACTAAATTAAATAAAACATTTTAATGTTACAGATGTACGAAATTTTCAATTAAACATTACTTATCGCATTGTAATAGAATTTAAAATAGGTTTTCAGTCACTCTTGAAACTAACCTTAACAGACTCCGTTATTTTTGACGGCGGCTGCTCTTCCTTAGCTTGGTTTCCTTGTATGGAAGTTTCTGACATGGGTCGCTATATAAATGTTACATTAATATTCTATGATGAATATTATTTTGCGATAGACCGCTTGTCTCGTACTTGAAAACAAAAATATTAAAGTCAAACATAAAAAAAGTCAAACTCAAATCGAAACTTTACACAGATAAAAATAAATTAATGTCTATAGACTATAGAAGGAACAGATACATTGCAGTTGTCTATTATAGAATTTCTAGAGTGTTTTAAAATATATTTGAAGTCCAATCACTTCATGAAAAAACACTGGGAATGATAAGAAAGGTCTATCCTTAGAATTGCATTTTATAGACTAAATATCTGAAAAATATAATACTTTGTCTGACTTAAATATGTTTGCCTATTTCTTGATATGAAACTCTCAGTTATAATTTTTAAAGAAATATCTTTAAATAGTTATAGCTTTAATATAGAACAAAATTGATCTTAGTCTATTTTTGTTTTTTAAGAGTAATCCTGTATTACGTGCATTAGATACAATGTTGAAGTTTTCTTTGATTTTTTGTAGTAAATAAGACAATCTGTGATGTCACTAGGAGTTTTAACATTTATTTCCTTATTATTTTTATATGACATTCGTCCTCTAACAATTTATTCAGTTCTACAATTTTATTTTTATTATTTACTATCATAATATAGGAATAGAACACAGAATCACTTAATTTTGAACATTATTGTTCTAAATACACTTTAAAAAAGGCTTATCCTTGTGAAAAAATTTAAGTATAAATCTATTTTTATTAAAATATATAATCTACGCAGTAAAAGGGTAAAACTTGGGGAGTTAATAAGTAATGTTAGTAAATAGGATCATTTTATTGCAAAATAACTTATTCTAACTACAATAATTTTTACAATAGGTACACTATTTATACACAAAACACACATGGAAGTTATCTTAAATATATCCAGATATCGGAAATTGATCTACAGCTGTCTAAGATACTGACTTTCGATTACAAGATAACTGAAACCAGGAAATATTGAAGTTAATAAGAAAAAACTACACTGAACTGAGTCACGAGTTGGCGCGTTCATGAAATGTAGTTTCGAACAAAAATACATCATAAACTTTTTTTTAATTATGTATTGTATTATTTGTATTTGAAAACTAACTTTCAGAGATCACGTTCACAAACAGCGAGAACGTCTCTTAATTTCTACGCTTAAATCTAGATGGAAATAAAAATCAATTCAAAATCTTTGGACTTCAATAAAACCTCTGATGGAATCAAACTTTTTGCATTGATTTTTTAAATTTAGAATCTACGTTTGCTCGAGAGGCCTTTAGGGAGGGGTTTGGTAAATAAATTAAGGGTCAAATTAAACATTGTTTTTGTTTTATATAATCATGTTCTTAAGTAATGTGGTGGCGGGGGCGGCGGGGGAGCGGGACGGAGACGCGAGCCTCGGTCTAGTTGACGCCGCCATGACGCCATAGCTTCAGACAACGTCCACAGTTCGGATAGTAGAGATAGATCTAGCTGCCTCAGGCTGGCCTGGAAATAATAATAACAAAATAAATACCAACCCAACAATAAATCATTTAATAGTTTGACAGCATTATTGTAAACAGCGCCATCTATTGTCTATCAAGTTTGATAAATACAAACAAGAAACAAAAATGTTACTACTAAAATAATTTCGTCTTTATAATTGGCACGTAAATAATTTTCTAGTTTACGAAAAGGAATACGTCAGTAGCAACTGTTTGAAAAGATGCCAAACAACAAAAAATGTAACGCTATGCTAAGTTTCGTTTTATCGTAAACAAACGTAATAATTGACGTTCAGCTGTAAATGGATATGAAACATGTGGTAAACATAATTTTGAATTATATTACATTAAAATAGAATTTTTTGCAATATGTACTTCGAGATTTTTTTTATATTTTAGATATGACGTAAAATCGAAAGTATATTTTGATATGTACATTATACGTGGTAAGAGTTAGGATGGTTAACTTTTACGCTTACTATAAGTTTTTAACAGTACATAATATGAAAAATAAATAGTTTTTATTAATAAATCTTTTGCATGATTCAGCATTACATATATTATTGAATGAGAAAACAGTTAACGCAACATATTTAGTGTAATACAAACAAGTGTTAGGCTTTCTGTACGAAACAAACGAATACACTTGGAAATTTAGTTTTATTTAACAAGAAATATCATATTAAGACTGTAGATGTATTTGACAGACTTTTAAAGTTAAAGAAAGTTCTTGAAGAGTTTTAATAAAAGCTAAAATAAGTTTTTAATACTTTGTACTGTCTGAATATTAGTATGTCCTATTAAAAGTTCGTGATTCTGTCACATTCTTAGCCAACGCAATCGTACGTTTAGGAAGGTCGACGAGTGGCTTTAGATTGTAAACTATTATTTTATATCGTAACAAAAACTAATTATACAGGGTGACTGGTGAATTACTATCAATATTTAAGGAGAAAACTCGGTACATGATTCTCATTCGAATTATGTAAAAAAAATAGGTACTTAATTTTTGACAAAATTTCCGTATAAATAAATAAAGTGTGTACACGTTCCAAGTGTTCCAAGTGTGGAGGCGTGCGGCGTCGTGCTGATACAACACAACGCCGCCGCACTCGTATGTGTGAGTGTGGGTGTATACCTAATCTGTAGGGTGTTTACACGATGCGTAATTAATTAGATAACTTTTGGTTAACTTTACTAAGAAGTTTATTAATATTTATGTTATATTAATTTTTATTTTGTCATATATGATCGTCACAAATCACGTCCTCAAATATCGATAGTAATTCACCAGTCACCCTGTATATGATATACAATGAAATTGATATTTTATTGAAGTATTTTTATATTAAACTTTTATTTTGATATGAGTTTCATCAGAAAACAATGTATATTTTTTTTTTGCGAAGAAATAATAAAATTTTAAATATCCGTCTTTTTAATAGACATTAATAATGGGCAAACACTTGTTTATTTATCGCCAAATTACTTCAAATATAAATGTAAAATAACTGAATAAATGAATCAAATGAGAATTAAGTTTCATTACTGAATGAATTTTTCAAACAAAAAGAAATACAAATAGATAATTCGTATATAAAAAAAAACTGTTAAAATAATTTAAAAATATAATTAGTATAATTTATAATACATATTGACAACTATCGAAAGATATTAGAAATAGAAATTAAGGAAAGATATTCTGTGATAATTTTTAAGACGTATGTACAATGTACATAAGCTTAATAGTTGTTATAATTGGTCATGACTGTTGGTACAAAATTTCAAAACAAAATACTCATTTTTTACGTTTTATAATAAAAAATAGCTTATTTAAAATGAATTATAAACAATAGTCTACATAAAGTTTGATAATATTTCGTTAAAATAATTTCTAAATATATGAGATTTATACATTTAACGAGAGAAATACAATCTTTATGTTATTTTATGATATACCCAGAAATATTATTTTATAGGCTACCCATAAAATAGCTATAATATGAATTGGATCACCTCATGCCCTATATTCAATTGGATTTACTATTTCAAGGCTGCTTAGAACTATCAAAATTGAAAATAATGATATTATTATATACATTTTATTAACTATGTACTTATTTATTTATACAGGGTGACTGGTGAATTACTATCAATATTTAAGGAGCATACTCGGTACATGATTCTCATTCGAATTATGTAAAAAAAATAGGTACTTAATTTTTGACCAAATTTCCGTATAAATAAATAAAGTGTTGACACGTTCCAAGTGTTCCAAGTGTGGACGCGTGCGGCGGCGTGCTGATACAACACTACGCCACCGCACGCGTGTGTGTGTGAGTGTGTGTGTATACCTAATCTGTAGGGTGTTCACACGATGCGTAATTAATTTCATAACTTTTGGTTAACTTTACTTAGAAGTTTATTAATATTTATGTTATATTAATTTTTATTTTGTCATATATGATCGTCAAATATCACGTCCTAAAATATCGATAGTAATTCACCAGTCACCCTGTATATAACTTTTTTATATATATTTACTCATAAATAATAATAAAAAGTAATTTATGTCATATATTCGATTGTTTCAAAACGTTTTGACACGATGGCTTAGTTGACAAAGTTTACAGAGATCGCAAAATATACATCGCAAGTTCAATTCCGGTTTTTATATTGAGTTAACAAAAATTAAATACGCTGTGTGTATTTTAAATAATTATATAGAGGAAGAGGAAATGGTGTTAATTAAGAGGTTTTTCTTATACTTATAATAAAATTAACTTTTTGCGTCATTTATGATGGAGTGTTGGTAAATGAGTTATTGTAAGTAAAAGACAATAATAGATAAATATCGTTCAGAATGATCACGATAGTCACGCGAGTGGGATTGCGTAGGAAACGGAGAAAGTTTTACAGTTGTATAGCAGCGATAGAATAAGTATTATTTATATACTTCTTTGACGTCAGTGGTGGCCTAGTGGTTAAATGACCTGGCTCTAGTGCACGAGGGCGCGGGTTCGATCCTGGCAATACCAATGTGATTTTTCCGAGTCATATGTACTTTCTAAGAGTATTTAGACGGATAATTAATGCATTCCCAAAAGAGAGGGTTCATGTCAGGCAGGCGGCCGGTCGTAAAAACAATTAGCCATAAACTATTCACAATACGTAAGGCAGACTTTGGCTAAAGCTAGGAAAATTGCCAGATAGAACAAGATATACTTCATTCAAAAACTAAGTCTTCATTCGCACTGGAATCACCAATTATATTAGTAACATCAACGTTTTTATTTGTTGGAAGGTACTTGTACTTCTACCCTAAGAAGATTACGCTTACTATAAGTTTGAACAGAACACGAAGCGTTTTTCGTCAGCTTAAATACTGGTTCGACCAGATTAACGAATGAACTCTTAACGTCTCGTTTGATAGTAACGATAAAATCCTATTATTAATTATCTCTATACAAGTGGATATCTTCAAATTAATTCACTTGTTATCAAAATAGCTATGTATACGAATGGATAACTTGAAAACTATCTGTTTTAAGTTTATTTATACTCATGGTAAGCGTATACAGATTACGATTGTATCCATGAATGAAGATTCACCAAGTCATCATGATGTATGATTTTATTTACTCTTAAATATTTTTTTACCGAAACAAATATGTATAATTAAGTATATTTGCTTTCTACATCTATATACAGGGTGACTGGTGAATTACTATCAATACTTTAGGACGTGATATTTGACGATCATATATGACAAAATAAAAATTAATATAACATAAATATTAATAAACTTCTAAGTAAAGTTAACCAAAAGTTATGTAATTAATTACGCATCGTGTGAACACCCTACAGATTAGGTATACACACACACACACGCGTGCAGCGGCGTAGTGTTGTATCAGCACGCCGCCGCACGCGTCCACACTTGGAACACTTGGAACGTGTCCACTCATTATTTATTTATACGGAAATTTGGTCAAAAATTAAGTACCTATTTTTTTTTTACATAATTCGAATGAGAATCATGTACCGAGTATTCTCCTTAAATATTGATAGTAATTCACCAGTCATCCTGTATATAAGAGATTTCTGAAGAGTATGTAACAAAATCTATAACGTAATTGGGATTAAAAACATATTACGTAGAAATGGCAATGATTAATACGTACTATATGGACTGTAATGGTTCCTTATGAGAAGTAAAATAAATTCATTAAAAATAGACTCTTAATGACGTATTATATAATAACTATAATTGCTTGTTTCGTAATGGATCCCTTTAACTTTCAAATTTTATCAAACAAACATATTCTATACTATTCTTCTTCTACCTGGCAATTTCCCAGCTTTAGCCAGGGTCTGCCTTACATGTTGTGAATAGTTTTGGCTAATTGTTTTTACGATCGGCCGCCTGCCTGACATCAACCGTCTTTGGGAATGCATTAATCAGTGTTGTCTAAATACTCTTAGAAAGTACATATCACTCGGAAAAATCACATTGGTACTTGCCAGGATCGAAGCCGCGCCCTCATGCATGAGAGGCGGCCCTTTTAACCACTAGGCTACCACTGACAAACATATTCTATATGATAACGATATATTCATGTATATATATATGATAACGATATGTTCATGATACTTATGATAAGTCTGCGGAAGATATATATATATGTGGGTCGGGTTAGCCGCAACACGGATTTCGTAGTGACATACAAACTTACAGTCGACTAACATTACTAGTCTTTAATCGATACGAATGATAAATATTACTAATTACGTAATAATTTATTAAGACGGGACCAAAAAATATAGAAAAATATCATATCTATCTAAAACAGTAATCAATTATTTTATTTGATTTTCAATACATACATATTAAATCGAGTATTTATGTACAAATTTGTATAATTTAGGATCCGATTTCAACTTTATTTATTTTCTATATAAATAATACAGTTATTAGTTAGTACTAGTGTTAATAGTTTT